AGACCTATATGCAAAGAGTAGGTCAGTGGTTCAAGCTCAGAGTATGTCATCCATGATCTGGAAAAGACTGAATTAAATGTTGGAGGTCAGGACCCAGCTTTAGGAGTTAGCCAAATGCCAACCCCAAGGCATCAGCTTTTTAGGCCAGAGCCAACTCTGATAGGCATCACCCATTCTTGGGTTCAGGCCAGGAGATGAGTAAAAAGAAAAGGTGTGGGTGTGCCGCTAAGGAGAATCAAATTTCTCCAGGAGAACTGTCAGATGAAAACAAAACAAAATAGCATACCGTCTAGATCTACCAGATTCTTTGTTACTACGAACAAAGACAGAAGTCCTGGGACTGAGCTAAGATGTCCCCGCCCAGCCAGGACATGTAGTAATTGGGTATATACATGTGCACAGGTACAAAGCATTCTCCACAGAGGAGGCAATCAGTTACTTATCAAATGGACAAATTCATCACCTCTAAGCCCAGAGGACAATGCCCAATTTGTCTGCTACTAGCAAATGACTGCTTGCTATAAATCTGGCCAAGATATCTGTTAAATCATTCATCCATCCATCCACCCATTCATTCACTCACTCAGCAAGTCACCATTGTGGTTATAGGTTTTGGTTTCATACCAAAGGGTCAGTGCTGGGCCAGAATCCCAGAAAATGAAGTCGGAAGCATAAGGAGAGCAAGCCTAGCCTAAAACTCTCACTAAATCTGCCCAAAGGCATCCTCAGAGCTTTGCCAGGATGGGCAATGGGCAGTGGTTTTCTTTGTGATTCTAAGTGGACCTGGCAGGTGCTTCCTATTCAAAGAGAGGTCTCAGGCCTTGCTGGCTCCTGCCACCTTGCACAGTGCCCTGGGATTCTTCCTGGTATCTTCAGGCAACCCAAATAAAGAGGTAAACTGAGGCAGGCTCAAATGACCAGAAATTGAGTTTATTCAGGAATAACGGAGGAACTGCAATTAAGGAAACATGCTGTGAGCCAGCCCCAGTGAGTCCCTTGAGGATTAGGGATGGGCTGTATTTATGGACAAGGAGTGCAAAGACAGGGAGGACTAGCCAGAGTCCCAGCAGCAAGTTCATTGGCTTGGGATTGGGGACGGATTCTTGGCAGCTGTTCACTGGTCCAGAAGTAATTTTCCATCATCTCTAAATCAAGTACTTATGGGAAATCAGTCTCTCACTTCTTAAGTTCCCTTCCTCTGAGGGCAGGTTGGGAGTCTCTGTTTCCTATCCTCCGGTTCTATTTTAGATCGAAATCTTTTCACACCTCCAACACCCCCCGCAGGTGTAGACCAAATTCACTCATGATGCTGCAGTGTTGCAGATGTCACTGTCTGAGGCCTTTCTTTTCAGGCAAAGGGACTGGTCCACTGGGAACTTTGTAGCGGACACAACTTTACAGATAAAATCGTTCTTTAAAAATCAAAGGACGCTGTGCTATTATGCTCAGTTCCATTAATATGCCTTTTGAGGTTGGAGTGAGGTGTGTGTGTGTGTGTGTGTGTGTGTGTGTGTGTAGGGCGGGGGCAAAGGCATCTATATTGTAGCCTGGATCATATAAATTACAAACAGGGGACTCTTTACCTGGAATCAATGGATGGGAGTGTAAGAGGGTTCATAAACCTCCAGATATTTTGTATAAAATTTGGAAGACAGCTTGCATAGCCTTCACCAGATTCTCAAGGGGGTCTGAGACCTCAGGGAGAGCAGGAATCCTGGCTCCAGAAGGATTTGGCTAGTGACTGAGGGAACCTACTCCCCGAACTTTCCTGGTGTCCTTTCATAAGGCCCCAGGCCTTTGCTGTTGCCAAGATGCACTGGCTTGCTACGGGGAGAAGGCAGGCTCTTGTCTGAGTTAGTTCTGCCACCTACAGCACGCAGCCTGGCAAAGGCACCATCTCTGCGCCAGAGCTGGAGGCTCATTTGCATACATGAATAAGGGGCGGGATGTCTCTCCAGCCCAGTACCCCTCCACTGGAAGAAAAATGACTTTGGGGATTCCTGATTAGCATTCAGAGATGCAAATTCCTTTGGGGTGGGTTACAGCAACGGGAAGGTATTTTTACATGAAAGGGGAAGGGATAAATCCTGAGGATTAGCACCTGTAAGAAGTGTTGCCCAAAACCCCGAGAGGAAAGGTACCTGGGGAAAAAAGAAAGAGAAAATGAGCTCGTGAGTTCTCACAATAAACGCAACTCTCCTACTTCCTAGCATGTGCAATGCTGATAATCCTTTCTAGGTCCAAATAGGCCTGACACTTAGGAGAAAACTCAATAAATGCTTGTTGATTTAAAGTAATAGAAATGTGGTTTGTTTTGCAATCTGTGCTGTGCTTGCTAATATGTAATCATAATATCTGTTTGTTGAACTTATGTGTCAAGACATATTATCTCAAATTTCCCAAACAATATACAAGATGGGTATGGTTTTACAGGTGAAACTGAGACCCAGCATTATTAAGTGGCTCATCCGAGGGTATGCATCTGGTGACAGACTCAAAATCTAGACCTAGATCTCTTGATTTCTAAGTCCATGTTTGTTCCACTCCATCCATGTATTTTATAGCCACTGTAAGTCAATTGCTCAAGAATGGGAATGGACAAAAAGGAAATGGTTTTAAAACCTTTATAACATTTTTAGTTAAAAGAAAAAGTTTTCCCAGTCTTTAGAATTTCTCTGAAAGCTTTTCTTACTGCCCTAGCTTAATAATAGATGCAAACATCTTCTGACCCTGTCTGAAGCTAGCAGTGGTTCTTCTTTGGTGGATAATCCATTCTTATCTCTATGTGTAGAGATGATTGTGGAATCCTTCACTCCATTTGGTATGAGTGACAGGGGAAGACTTGAGGTTGTCTGTAATTTGCACATACTTTGATTTCCAGTGTGGAGTTGTTAGTAGAGGAATACACACTTGCAGTCTTGGAATATGGACTTAATTGCATAGTAACCATCCCTCTTTCACAGGGTTTTCCTTATTAACATTTTAGGTTTCAAAAAGGACTCCAAAGTAAACAAGAAGATAGACAAGGTTGAAGATGCATCATAACTAACCCAGATCTCATTACTTTACAGCCTGATACGCTAGGGTCCAGTAGCTTTGTCTCTTTGTCTCACATTGCACCTGTGTTGTTCAGGCTTTGAAATCTTAGTCCCTTCTTCCAAAGAAACTGCAGATGGAAGGAGATTACAGTTGGCCCTTAAATAGGGTTTGTGGTTCTGGCAAAGTTTAGATCATCGATAGGTAAAAAGGGCTGAGAAATTTTTCTAGATGAAGGCAATTTTGATTATCATGCCTAGACTTGAGAAGAGAGGAAGGGCATGGAAAAGTGAGGTGTGGGGGTAAGAAGAGAGGGGAATTTGAGCTGGAAACCCCTGGGGATTTGTGCATGTCTTGCTTCTATATTTGTCTCTTCTAAAGCCCAGCATATGCAGGGCAGTGGATCTCCGTTTTGGGTAATATTTATCAGAATTAGATGGGAGAATGCTTTTTTAAAATACAGATTCAGGACCCCACCTCCAGACTCAGTGAAACAGAAAGGGCAGAGTCTGGAAGTCTGCATTTTTAATAATCAACTCTTCTGATTCTGATGGAAGTGTTCCCTAGACTTTGAGGAACATTGGCATAGAAAGGTCCTCCAGTCTTTCTAAGAATCACTCCTTAAATGCATCCATTCATTTGAGCCAAATCTAGGAACACAGAGATAAAAGGCATAGTCGCAGCATTCGAAGAGTTCAAAGTTGAGTGGAAAAGAGACTTGGAAGCCGATGGTTATACAAAAAGTAAATGAGTAAGTTTGCAGAGCAGAAAAGGGCTGGGTGCTATGGGAGAGCTGTAGTCATCCAACTCAGCCCACACAGGGAGAGGTGCAGAGCCAGGGGGGAAAGGCCTAACAGAGGAAGGAACTTTGCCTTCAAGGATGGGTGGGCATTAGCCAGGAAGAGGGAGAGCAAAGAATTCCAGGTAGAGGGAACCAGTGGACAATAAGGAATGTGGACTCTAGGGAAATACTCAGGTGAGAAATGGCAGAAGGGAAGGGAGTAGTAAAAACGATGGCCCCATGAACATGGGGATTGCACATCTGCCTTTCATAATACAATGACGTTTTTCCACATGGGAAGGTGCATTGCCAATGTTAGTATAGCTGTAACTGAAACAGCAATGGATGCATTGTTCCTAGTCTTGGTCTTTGCCCTTTCAATGCAGCAGCATTCTGAAAAGCTTCCAAATGAGAAGGAATTCAGAAAAGTCCAAGGCAATCCTAACTGAATTTACCTTCTTATTTCATTCATTAATCTTTGTCATCAGAAGTCTTGGACCAAAGTAAAGCTGAAAGATCTAACTAGGGGGGAGAACAAGGGCAACCGTGTGCAGAACCACAGAAAAAGCTCCCACACTGAATGAAAGTCAGCATATGTTACTGACATTCTCATCTTGTGTAAAATACAAATGAGTATATGAATACAAATAAAATAGTGTTCATCATGGCCCTTTATAAGAATTAGGATCAAAAACATACCTGTAGTCGCCACTTTCTTCTCCAAAGTTTAAAGGATGGCTTTCACTGCCACATAATCTACATAAACTAGCATTGTGTAACTCACAGTGTGTGGTTATACAAACAGGAACTACAGCAGAGACCAGAGTCGAAATCAGAGCACGTTGCGCTCCATGGAAAAGAGCTTTTCTCTTTAACCAGAAAGAATCATTTCAATTCAGAATAGAACCACATATATCCACCCAACAGTCTGTACAGAATGTGTGGGGATGTGTGTGTGTGTGTGTGTATAAACCACACTCAGCTATAATATCATAAATGCTAGTAAATTAAGTGGGCATTATCAAGTGTTGGTAATATTTCTTTTCCTCCAAACTTATATGGAGAAAATCAAAACCCGGGGTTGGGGGGTTTAAACTTTCTTTTGGATTCCAGCTGTTAACATTATTTATTGCAAATAATGTTATCAAGTAGTAAAACACCGATGTCTTTGAACTCCTTGCAGTTGTGTGTAATACTGGAGCCAATGCAGGAACTGATGTCCAGACATAAAACTTACAACCTCAGTCCACGAGACTGCCTGAAGACCTGCTTGTTTCAGAAGTGGCAGCGGATGGTGGCGCCGCCAGGTACGACTTCGTTCTTCACTCTCCATCTACATACTTTTTCTGAGGCTTCTTCTGGCGATGAAGGCGTGTGAAAAGGAAGTGATCATAAATGTATCAGCAAAGTAGTTTATAAGGGATATCCTGACCGTGATATTGGACCCAAAGACACTGGCTTTGTGAAGGACAAACATCCTTCTTAGATGTAGTGACCATCCTGTCACTTGCTAGATTAGGACCTGAAACCCACAGAAGGAAACTGATTTATTTAACGTTACCAAGAAAATATTGACAAAGCCGAAATCGGAACCCAGGTTTCCTGTCTTCCAGTCCAGTGGTTGTTCCACTGGACAAGACTGGTGGCTGCTCATGGTTTCCTGTGATTTTGTTTGTTTTTGAAGAATGGTAGAAATTATGAAAAGAAAGGGAGGGAGGGAGGGAGGGAGGAAGAAGAAAGGAAGAATAGGAGGGAATAGAGGAGAGAAGGAAAGAAGGAAAGGAGGAAGGGAGGAAGGGAGGAAGGGAGGAAATAAATAAATAAATATTTTTGCTCTATTTTTTAAGGTATATAATATCAAAGGGTTCTCTGATCATGAAAAAATACATAAAAGACTCCATTTCTCTCACTTCCCTAGAATGTAGTTTAGATACTATAGTCTCCTGCTGGGGTTCTGAAATTACTGCTTCCAGTCATCATTAATTGTCCTTCTATCTAATACATTTTCACTCCCAGGCATGTGTCGAGCCTCACTGATCATATAAGCAAAACATATCCATTCACTAAAAATTATTTTTATAAAGAGTAACTATTAACACGAGGCACATAGCCTTCTGAATCACAAAATATAATGGTCACCTTCTGCTGGTAATTGGCCAGGGGTTTTATATAAAGTGAATATAGCAGATGTAACCAAGTACATACTTAGAAAGCTGAGAAAAATGAGCATTATTTTACGTAGAATAGTTGCATCCCCATCTTACAGGAATTATAGACATTCAGAACATTATTTTTCAAATGTGTTAAATGTGCGTAAATTGGCCTTATTTTCTTTCAATACCAATAAGGCTTCAAAGGAAAAAATTTCGCTCACTAAATGCTTTGAACACCTATTTCGCAACCTGTGCACATATAATTCATATATTATTCATTAATTCAGTCATTAACTCAACAATTATTTATTGAGCCCCTACTAGGTGCCAGGCACTGCTCTAGCCACTGTGGGTATAACACTACATGAAAATAGTCACAAATTGCAGCCCTCTCAGACCTTCCATTCTCTTACTGAATCCTCACAACAACCTTATGAGGTATTTCTTGTTATTCCCATTCGATATAATAGGCCTGAGATTTAAAGTAGTAACTTGCCAAAGTTAGCTGAAGCTAGTCAGTGGAGGCCCCTATGTCACGGTAAGTTTTTATGTCTTCAATTCGTGACTCTATTACCACAGCTACCTACTGCCAGTGGGAGTAATCCAGAGCGTACCATTTAGGTGTATTTTCCCAAAACTCCATGAAAAAGTACGAATTTTTTTTTTAAAGCAGCCGATTTCAATTCAAGTCAAAGGAAGAGATTCCTGTCAGGGAAAGCTGGGTGTTTGCTTTACTTTATAATGTACCTCTCAACTGTCCTCCAGCCCCATGAGCTGGAACAACTCTGTTTCCTGTTTCCATAACCTTCAGAATAAGCACCCGTAACTCTCTATGGATAGGGATGTTAGGCCCTTTGATGAAACTCTTTAAACATTAGAGATAAAATATTTATGAAAGAAAATATGTTATATAAATAGAAACATAATCTCTTACTTCATCAAAAGTCAGAGATAACCTGATGGACTAAGCGGTCTTTGAAATGACCTTCAAGGAGATCTTCCCCATTGTTCATCAAAAGCAGTACAGATGCCTCAAGAAAATGCTCCAAGGTTACCTCATTTAGTTCCAGTATGGTCCTGGCTTACCTTCTCTCCGTCAGAGTTGGATCTAGAATAGGGTTAGCAAAAAGGATGCTCTTACATGCCATTTCCAATTCATTTAGTAACTGCCTGGAACAGGCTTCTGAAGATTTTTCATTCTCAAAGCAAAGATTATAGTACCTAGTTAATAGAGTTGCTGTGAATATAAAATAATGACATAGAAAACATTAAAAATATGAAAACATTGAGTCATGCTCATAATACATAATCAATAAATAATATTATTTTTACTACACATTTCCATGAGCCCCTATACTTCCATTAAGATGTTGCCTCATACTTCAGGTCCAAAATATTTTTTTTCTATTTCTAAACAGACCTTTCTGGAAAAGGTCTAGCTTCTCTTCATTCATATGTTGGCTGTAGCATACTAAGGCATTTGTTCCCCCGGGAATTTTGAAATTAGTTGCATCTTTTAGACACCAGGATCCAAAGCATGGGTATTTCTACTGAGCTTGGGAATCCCTAAGTTCCACATCAATGGCTGATGGGATGGACACTTCCTCTTCTTTGTATCGGGTTGGCCCAAAAGTTCGTTTGGGTTTTTCCCGTAAGATGTTACGGGAAAAACCCACACAAGTTTTTTGGCCAGTTTTTCAACATTTCAGCGTGCGATAGAGCTGGGCTGCAATATGACACTTAGCCAGTAGGTGCTGCTGTAACTCACTGGTTCACTTAATTGAGCTCAGCTCATACTTCTCTCAACCCCTGGAGGTTCCCTAGGAGTCCCAGAGCCCTCCGCTTGTTATAAAAAGAGCGTAGACGGCAAGAAAATGTTTTGCCCCAAATTCATAATGGTAATAATATTTTAAGTTCAAACTATAGTAGTGGTGTAACTCACCCTAAGACTTATTAAGAGCTTCCAGACACACACACACAGTAGATGACATCAGGAAGAACAATTAAATACAAATCACTTTACCAAGATACTAAAGAAAAGAGTTTCAGTCATTGTGTGCTACAAATAAATCAGCAGCTTTCTTCTTTTAGGTTTCATCAAGTTAAAAGAAGTGGAAAAAATATCAACAGTCCTACTCTTTTGAACTTACAAAAAACGGCTTCCCAGGAGGGCCCGTATTCTGGTGGTCACCCTGGCACTGACCCTCCTTCCATGTTTCATGTTGCAGCAGAGCCCACAAGGCAACCGACAACGAAACGGAGAAAAAGAAAAAATTCCACCAGCAGCACCTCCAACAGCGGCGCTGGGAACACCGCCAACAGCACGGGCAGCAAGAAGAAGGCGCCAGCCGCCAACCTGAGTCTGTCCAGTCAGGTACCTGTAAGTCTCGCTTTCCTTTTAGGCTGAAATCCTGCCTTTGCCTGTCGTCTCCCCGCGTCCAGGGGCCCTACGGCAAAGTCTCTTTTAGCTGCAATGACCTTCTGGGCCGGGTGAGGGGCGGG